GTAAGTCAATGATTAAGTAATAAAAATTGTTAATGTCAAGTATTAACGTGATTTATTTACTTACTTTTACTCAATAGTATTTTTCATCTTTTTACTATAGACAACTGGCTTAAGTTGAACTTGGGAAAAAGCACAAAGAACCACTAAGAGTTTCGGTCATGTTGATATCACTTTTTAGTTCACATTTTTATTAATACACACTATAAGTCGGGCTTGCGTACTCGATTATATACTATATTATTCAGTATTATATACAATACTTCACTTAAACATTATATTTTTATTTCAATGGTAAAGAATCAATTGCCAGTCTAACTCCGTACATCGTGTTGCTTCAATTCTTCTTTCATTTGTTTCGACACATATTTTACTTATTTATAGATAGGTTATAGTTTAAAATAATTTTATTGCTCTACATTAAAATGTGAGCAACTGTCATTGACTCTAGATAAAGAATAACTGATAATAAATATCAGTGATACTTTATCTAGCTTCTACTCTCTATCCGAGATGGTAAGTTAGATATGTTTCTGTTGAAGTTGTTTATGATCACAACAACCATCACTAGTTAGTACGTATGTATAGTAAATGCCTTTTTTCTGTTGGGAAAGCCAGAGACCATAGCCAATATACATTCAATAGGTCTTTAGGTAACTGAACATAATATGTCGGGAAACCAATAATAGTTAAGATGCTTTTGATAATAATTAAGAAAAAATAAACACAATAACAACCTACCTAACCTACCTAAACAAAATGCGGTCTAATTTAGATAGCCACTATGATATGAGTGTCCTTGTTACTCTCAGATAAAACTTTATTATATTGTGGTCCAAGTGAAGAGCCTAAATGTACTTTTGACTACAGTCCCTGGTGTAGGCTACTGTCCGCAAATTTTTTTATAAGTATGACTAAAGAAAAATGTATATTATTTTACAGAATGTATCCATTTGATGGCTAATGTTTTGGAAACCAGTCACTTTAAGTAATTTTGATACATAAGACTATTGGCACGTATTGTTGATTGAGTTATTTATTTATATAAAATTGGCCGCCATTTTGAAAAAAAATACCCATACATTTGAAAAAAGCTACAACATGGCGGACATATCACAAGGTGCAAACACTTTCTCAGTATTGTAATAAAACAACCTAACATATCATTACTGTATGTCATTATGTATAGTACACATATTGGACAATCGTGTTTTATGATTATAAAATAAAAGTCTACACAAATTATGAATTTATAAATCTATAACCACCTTCAATCCTAAACAAAACCTATTCGCAATAAGAAGTATGCATATAAAGTGTGCAAATATTGATTTGTAGCGCTAGTATGAATTTTGATATCGTTGAAAGAATTCAGTATTGTTTATTACACTTCAAGTAATCACATTCATAAATACTTTTAATTAAATACACACATCGAAAGTGTCTAGGCATCAAGCACGTTTTTGCCAATAGCTAAAAATCAGGTTTTTTGATTAATTTTTTTAACACCAATAATTTTTTGTGGTCAATTGCATAATTGAGAAAAAAATACATTTTTATTTAATTTTAATATGGTAATCAAATACTAAAAAAAAAATACCTCGATCGATTACTAGATACTTTTGATGTGTGTAATTAAATTACATAAGTTATTGTCAAGTATTCATACCTTAGGCGACATCAAAGTTTGCATTGTCAGTGGAAAAATGTGGCTATGATTAGTTCAATCATCAAGTTGTTCATCAATCTAACATATTATACTAAAAATATGTATTTTTTTATAATTATACTACTTATTCAACAATTGCAGCAGAAAAGTCCGTTTATTTATATTGAAACTGCACCGCATCGATTTCTGTGTGCGGAATTGATGCCCGCTAATTTCTTATGACATAAAAGTTATGTCCAACATAGCGGCATGTGAAACGGGGCAGGCCACCGCACATGGCGTTGAGTAACGCTTTATCGTACTTATCCATACCGCCGTACTGTATAAGGGATCAATTGCAACATTTAGGCATCAAATGTGCTTTACATAATTTGGTATAATTTTGTGTACACTTGAATTTACGAGATATAATAAACGTATATGAAATATCAAGTTGGGTGTTACATATCAAAAAAAATTGTAACTTATGAAATTTGTTCCTGACGCATTACTATATTGCAGTAGCAATAGCGCTTCTTGTGAACAAGTTCGTACAGGGAAGTACTATCACCTTACCTATTTCTGCCGCCAAGCAGAATGAGAGCAATACTGCGTTCGTGCGTAAGGGGGCTGGTGAAATTACGAGCATATGGGACTTGTCGACTTAATGTCTCTGGGTGACAGGCGCAGTGGCAGTGTCCCTCAGATCTTTGCGATTTAAAGCTCTAAATGGCATTGCAACTTCTATGGACAGGCGTGTTGCTTAACACCAGGCGCACGACTTGGTCGTCCTGTCACGTGGTATCATAAAAGTAAAATATTCCAAGCTTCGGGGCGATTCGATTTTTATGGAAGTTGACGGTTACATTATCAACTTAATTTCATTCTAATGTATTATTTGAATTTTCTCGCACATAATTTCACAACTTCAAATAAAATTATACCTTGAGGTTTACACGAAAGGTTCACATTCGTTTAAGGTTTAGCCGTGATATAAGAGCACTTAAGTGTCTTGACACTTATTTAAGAATTAAATCCAACTCTATGGCGCTTACATTAAGAATATTCAAAAGTCCAAAGCGTCAAGCTTGATAAAATATGTTCTTAATTGTACACTCATTCGCAGGTTAAATAAATAAATAACGCACACACTGTTCACTCACAAATATGCCATCATTAAAACTGTTGAAAACTTCCGTAGAGATAAAACGCAACTTGTATCTCTATGGAAGTAATGTAAGGTAACTGTACTCGTAGTTTGGAAATGAAATTGTTTCGGATCCAAATTATACTTGCTTTTTCAAGCAAATCAACGTTTCTTTCTGTACAGGTTCCGTGGTCACGACTGACTAACGGGCCCGAATGTTAGTTTGTTTGAAGAAACAAATATATGAGCATAAGATTCGAAAAAAATAGTTCAATTTTCAATGTGTAACAATCGTGAAAACCTGAGAAATCGGTAAGGACACACCATGCACCGTACTGTGTCATATTGATATTAAATCAACGTGTTGTTATTATGTCCCAGAGTTAACACATTACGCGATATTATCAACTACACCAACATCATTAGTGCTAATGAGGCCAAGGTGAAAAATCAACATAGTCAACTACAGTGTTCGGAAAAACGATTGAATATTCGCTTAAACAAAATGTTTTGCAAAAGTCAGTGTGTACGCGCCGTGTCGCAAACGCAGCATAACAATAGCACTGGTTGAGACAATGTACGCATATGTACGAATACAATACATTTATTTATGTGAAACTGAGAAGCTCTATATTATGAATAGAAAACATACTTTAACCCGTTCATAGACTGTACTTATATAGTACCATATACCAAAAAGTCACTACTTTGCACTGTAGTGCTTATATCGATTCAATGTAATTTATTATTTAGTAGCAGTAGATCTGCTTGTTAAACAGTTCGTCCGGGGAAGAACTTGCAAACTTAGATATTTCTGTGGCCAAGCAGTAATGTGAGTCTTGCAGGATAAGGAAGCTGGTGATTTAAAAAAAAATCAAATTAAGGCACAGTCTCTCAGATCTTTGCGATTTAAAACTCTGCGTGGCACTGGAACGGTTATGGACAGGCGTGTCGCTTATCATCAGGCGCACGACATGTTCGTCCCGTCACTTTGTTTCATAACAAAAAGTTACGCTTTATCACCGACGTCTGATCCCATCAACATTTCTTGTATAAAAGAAAGTACGGCTATTACAATAGTAGGATGATTGCCAAATTTAGGTAAAGCTTGCTCATGCTGTCAAAAATTTCAAAGGCACTGATATGTACTTGTATATCACTTTATATAGACACTCCCGGTGTCCAGCGTACTATCTTAGTGTACATCTTAAATATGCGTGTGTAACAATGTGAGCGTGTGAATAATTGAATTTTGTCAGTATACTATTGATACTTCTCGAAAATACGTTCGAAATATGGCCGAGAGAGACTTTACCCTAACCGAACTTACTCGTACTTTAAAATATTTACTGAATAGAATGTTTAAGATTTATTTTTAAGTATTTATTACATAATGGCCTAATATCTATACAATGTTGTTAACAGTGTTGTTTTTCCTCATTTCACGTTTGAATAAAAACAAAAGAAGAGTGGAACATTATATTATATATTAAATATTTTTGAAATAATTAAAGTTTAACCTTTTTATTATTCTTTATATTTCAAATACAGAATTACCAAAAAATAAATATGTTGAGGTAATTATGTAGCAATGACCGGATTATGTTATGATGTATAAGAATAATACTGTAGGGTCATAAATGGAAAATATACCAATAAATATTATAATCGTACCTAAACATTTGTACATAAAACAACCCTTTCAAAATTTACTTCAAAATACATATATAGAGACTAATTTATAACTGATATAAAATTAGAATAAGCTCCAAAAGTAAATTATAAAAATCAGTACCAATTAATTATAGTTTTTCATAATTTTTAATTAAATTTTTAGTTCTCAACAGTCATTAACGCAAGATTGTTTATTTGTTGTCGAAACAGATTTATGGAATGAATTTAGCGCGAGAACTGAGTTACCCACTAGGAATGCGTGCAAAAGAATGCATTGTGTTGAAGACTGTCCGAACTGAGAGTTTTACCTCATTTAATTTGCGCTCTACAGTTTAGCACTGCCTATACAAATATCTCTATATGTATGTATAGTAACTAAATCAGCAAGTAATAGACAGTCCATTTGGTGGACAGTTGGTGATTGGTTAAGCATTTAAAAACAGTGTAAGATATGAAGTCTCCTTCATGCATGTAATTCAGGCCTCTCGGACTACACACATTGAGGGGCTTTAGGTTGAAGAAAGGAATTGTAAAAGTAAAAATAATGATTCAATAAAACATAAACAATCTTATGGTAGCACTGATTAAACTTACTTGAAGGCCACTTCTATTAATTGGGAACCGGTCCCTGTCCAGATCTCGCTCGTGAGGCAGTGGTGAGTTGGACCGCCTCGGCAAAGTCGCATGACCAGGGGACACTGTGTCAGAGAATACTTCATCTGGAAGAGAAAACCAAATTTAAGGTACTGCAGTCACCACACAGGAGAAATCTAATTTAACACAGAAACTAGTAAAAGTAAAGTAATTTTTTGTTAATTGACAATAATAATTATTTCTATTGTTTTAAAATTATATGAAGATAAATTTGTGATGTTAAAACAATTTTTTTCAGAATGGTGCAACATAATGCGTTTCGTGTTTAAGTTGCGATTGTTAGGATAGATGCCACAAGAAGTAGTAAAATGTGCTTTGTTGTTATAAATTACAGAACCAGTGTCAGGAATTGTGCTACAATCGAGTGCCCAAATTTATTTCAGCACTGGTACCGTCGTTCTCTAACTGAACCCAATCATCACGCTTTACGTAACGGCACTTTTTGTTCCTGCTGAGAGAATTATCACACCACTCCAAGGACTTGAGGAAAGAGTCCCGGCACGACAACACGTCGCGAATGAAAGATCCTTTCTCACCAGATTTAAGACTGCTGCGATTACTACTTGATGTTTTTGCGGTGTGACTGCTACTTGACACTTTTCTCAATACTTCGTATTTGTTTTCTAAACTTATCGAGCTCGCGACTTGTTCACTTGATAGTAGCAGTTTCGTGGTAGATTTGTACTCGTCGTCGATGTTCTTGTTGAACTCGAAATCCAACGAGGGAAGTTCATCTAACGCTCTAGTTATAGTCAATACTGGTAACGATCGCGGGTCAGGTGCCGATAGATCCCTATTCAAAGTATAACTATTTCTTACAGGGCCGACTAAAGATGAATTTGGATTATCAATCGGATTATCCTGTTCATCGACCAAAGCAGGTTCGCAGCATAAACCACAAAAACACCACTTAAAACACTGGCGGCACATATTTTTCTTCTTTCCTACGTGTTTATTATACGTATTTATTGTATAAATATTAACGGGACGGTATTGCGGCGTAGGAGAGTGACGATTTTCAAATGTTATATATTTAGATTTTGTTTTCCTCCCTGATGCCATTTAGCTCACAAACACGAGTGACCGTAACTAAATAGCGTTGTAAAATCACATAAATCCTTAATTTATCGTATCCAGCGTTTCGGTTGTTTCCTGTTAGTATATGCTAACCGATAGTAACCACGATATGGCACAATACAAAACATAGCAATGTCAGCCGTTAATTGAGGTTGGAATGATTGTTCAAAGGTTGTGTGCATGATTCTAGCAGCCCCAGAATCAGAATCAATATTTTTTTGTCCACAATAATGGTCATTGGTGCATACTTACGTGAGTTCTACTACATACAACAACAAATTGCACAAAAAGTAGATTATGAAACATACCATTGTTATCATAGGGCTTTTTGCATAAGGAAAAGGAGCTCCACCGCATCATCTTCACTTTTTTGTTAAAACTGCTCTCTGCGCAAAGAGAATTCATGGATTTTGTAAACGTTTCGTTAGCCTTTTGCGACGACGTACAAAGGACAGGCATTGATTTTTCGAACTCTTGGCAATCATTTAAGTTCCCAACATTGAGTGGTTCTGAACTACGCATAGTGTTATTGGAGACAATCTGTTCATTAATATCCCGAAAAGATGATACTGCGTTGTCAAAATTTGGGTTATTTAAGTTAACATTGTCTATTTTAACACAATTATCTTTTATTTCTTTAAAATAAACTTGACTAATCTCTTTATTCGCGATGTCATCATTTTGTAAGAAGTTAATTTTTGTTATGACTTCGTTTTCGTCGCGCTTTTTTTTCGAAGGGGTTTCTATTTCGAGTTTATACAGTATATTCACACTTTCTTGTGTATTATCATCAATTGTTTCAGATAATTCACGGCTGGGTGAAATTTTATTATATTTTTCAGATTTGTTGTCACCATTGGAACCTTCTATTATTCTCTTTCTTGTTTTATCTAAAACTTTCTTTTGTGTCAGTACTGTGTTTTCAGTTGAATTTTGGTACACATGTGCATCAGTGTTCAGTGGTAATATTTTTAAATTTGATTCACATGAGTCTTTGTGATCACAAACTTTGGCATCTTCTACTAATTTTTCATCGATAATCCTGGTAATAGTCAAAGGTTCGCTTATTTTCTGCTTCAAAGGAACTACTTTTGGTTTAGATAGTTCTGATGCCAAAAAGGAGTAAAGTTTGAATTTTTCCCTATGTTGTTGACGCACTTTAGCTAAAGTAACGGTCTCTAGACACGTTTCTGGGTTCGTACGTTTTGCACAATTCCAGCAAGACATGTCATCATCATTGTCATATAAGATCACTTTTTTGGCACTCTCACTTCTAATCACTTTTTTAGCAATCATTATTAATTTTGTTAAGTCCTTATTCGCGTCTTCAATCACAACTAAGATACGACTGAACCTGTTCACGATTATTCAACGTTTTAATAAGATCGATTCGGTGCTTCAAACGTAATGGATTTTAAACGACTAAAACATATAGATGATGTAAAATTTTGGCCCACATGAATAATGTTATGCAATACTTGGAACAACATACACAAGAACTAGCCACGAATTTTTTTTGTTTAATTAATAAAACCACCTTGATATAATTATACCTGAATGTCAAGGTAAACACAATAATCAATCTTTCAATTTTAAACAAATTTTTTTTACATGTCAAAGCATAATATACTGTAATATGTTAGATAAAATTAAAAGTTATCAGGCCTAAGCATCTTATTAAGCGATTTTATAATGAACGATAATTGTGTAAAAAAATAAAGAGCAAGCTAAAGTGGGTCCGCCAAGATAACACACACTACACAAATGACTGTGTTAGTAGGGTCAAGGGATCAAACGAATCAGGATTTCACAGTCATGTAGGTCAACCAAGTCAAATTGGAACTTTATGAAAATTAGTAGAGAAAATGTGATGCAATTTGCAAAAGTCTTCCTGTGCTGAAAATGATTGAAATGCCGTAACCGTGATCGTTTTGGAACATTATTAAAAATGACAGTGTCGTTAGGGTTGGACCGCACTTGTCAGCAGGCATCAACACATTTTTTCTAAAAGTGTATTTTATATGACTTGATGCTACTACGTGCCCCTAATACGTATCATCGCTGCCTTTCAATAATAGTGGCACAAACCAAAATAGTTCATATATGTCTTTGTAACAAAGCTGCATTCAGAATGTACTAAATGACATTGCAAAAACAACGAGCTTTTTGTTGCCTAAAATAAACAAGTAACAGCATGGGCTGGTGTATGATTCGTCGGTTTTGCACGTTAGATGTGCTTCAGATGTTTCTAAACCATATTCCTTATAATTTAATTAATTTTGAATAGGACACTATTCTAGAAAGTCATCGATATAATAAACACGTTTCCTATGTATGAGCTGCTGTGCGTGTTGACAAGAATAGTTTAAAGAGTTCATTGTCATGAGACAGTGTAAGGAAGTTACTACATTTATTGACACTGAATTGGATTAAGCCGGTCAGAAAAACCTTTATGTCCGTCCATATAATAAGAACGAGACGTAGTAGCAGTAGACCTCCTTTTGAAAGAGTTCGTCCAGGGAAGTACTCCCACCTTATCCATTTCTGTCGCCAAGCAGTAATGTTAGCATTACTTCGTTCCAGATTTGAAGGGTAAGGGTGTTGGGGAAACTACAGGCACATGAGACTTGTCAACTTGTGTCCCAGGGTGGCGGGCACAGTGGCAGTGCACCTCAAATCTTTGCGATTTAAAGCTTTGAGTGGCACTGCAACTGTTATGGACCGGCGTGTCGCTTACCACCAGGCCCACGACTTGTTCGTCACGTCACGTCTGCTCAAGAGCGACATAAAACGCTAGATACTGCTATTCTCCCTCACAGATTTCGCGCTTTATGTGGCTGTCGCGTAGGTCGCGCCTTGTCGTGCTAGCCCTATTAGCATCATATAAAAAAAAACGTTCGTTCGAGCGGAAACGAAGCGCGCGTTTTTTTCACTCTTATAGCCTGGACTTGAAGCTTTTTCTGACTTGTTCAAGCCGATTTTGCGTCAACACGTGTGGTGGCTCCCTATGTCAGTGTATTATTTCTGATTTGTTTGTTAGTTTCTTCAAAAATACCGTATTAATAAGTTTAGTCACATTTTATTATAGACCTTTTGACGGGTGCCTTCGTGTAGAGTGGAGGTTTTTCTTAACACTTTTGAAGTGGCGTTTACATTCTGCAAAAGTTGACCATCTGTTATTATTCAGACTGTGGATTGGTTTCTTCTGTTACGTTCTAAAAGTTTCTAATATCAATACCCAAAAAAAATAAATAAATACAAATTACATTAATAAATGACATTTATTTCATGGTCATTAGATACCAAAACAAAACCTGTTCTATCTCACAGGGTTACAAAGTCATATTTCAATTAGATGAATAAATTTATCCGATAAAAATAATTTCAAACTTGAAAATAATTTGTTTTAATTACCACATATATTGCGTATGTGACTGACACTATAACTAAAAACCAGTTGGATGTAGATTATTATAGCTATAATTGGAGCACTGAAAATACGCATAAGCATAGTTTAATTAGTTCAAGAGCATGTCCAATTAAGAATTCAATTAACTTTATGCCGCTTGCCATAATGTGATGCGAGCTAGACTGTAATTGAAAAGTTTTTCATATTTTATTTCCGTATTATCTACATTATTTGGTTATTTATAGTAGTACTTAGTATTTTTTTCAACCACTAGCAACAAAACATAATGCTAGTTATATTTTACTGTACTCACGTACGTCATGCGTGTACGCAAGAGCGACCGTGACCGTCATGTGTTCCGTGTCGTGAGCATGAAAAGAATTTTCACATCTCTCGCTAGCTGCTGCTCTCCCACATTTACGATTTGTTAATTTTACTTATTATTTTTATGTCCATTTTATCTTGTGGCTTTTCCTTTTATATAAAGGTAGTTGATTTATTTATTTATTTATTTATTACATATTGCTTACAGTCAAGATAAACGCAATAGTAAGACTTAAAGCTAAATGTACAATCAAT